GCTCGATGCCGCGCTCCTCCGTCCTGGTCGCGTAGACATGACTATCACATTTGGGTATGCTCACTCCCAAGACATCCGGGAATTGTACTCGTCCATTTATTCCACGCTTGAGGGTGACTTGCGCTCTGTGTCTCCGAACAGGAGGAGGAACGCGATTACCAGCCACGACGGCAAAGCCAATGGAGTTAAGAAGACGATCGTTGGTGATGGAATGGAAGAAAGGCCTCCTGTATCGGACAAGATTGTCCGGTTGGCGAAGGATTTCGCAGCTGGTATTCCGGCTGGGGAGTTCACTGCTGCGGAGGTGCAAGGGTATCTGTTGAATTATAAGGATGATCCGGAGGCTGCGATTGCTGGGATTGGGGGGTGGTTGGAGCGGACGGAGAAGACAAGGAAGGAGAGGAAGGAGAAAGCTGAGGAGAGTAAGGTATAGATTTCTTATGTTCCTTTTGTGGTGTGGTTCTGTCCAGATTTGAGGGTTATGATGATGATTATAGATAGTAGAGATACCCTACTCTTAATGAAAGCTCTATACTAATGTGAGTGATATGCATGGATCCGGTAGAGTCTACATAGACATCTGGAATTGTAATATCCAAGTTCAAGCCCCCAACGGACGTCTCATCTTCTGCACAACCTTCAGGTACTGAGTACACTAGTTTAAACAGACATATCCGCCATCGGAAAGACAGTTATTGCCATTCGCAAGATCACCAACCCAATTCCCGCCTTCGCACCTATAAAGCCAACACAAAGGATGTTGATGGGCTAAGTTTCAATATCTATACGATAGTAGCAACAACGAAGTATTTGGTAATGTAATACGCAAATTGGAGTTTTCCAGGCAAAGTACAGGCTGGAAACTGATATTATAGTCGGTCCGTTGCCATGGCGACGGTGGATTCAACGATCACCTCGATATCCCGCCCGATAACGAAGTTGAACTACCATCGACTACAGTACATGCACTGATCAAGACATAGGTACCCAATTTGCGGTACCTACAGTTATGCAGTAATGCAATTACTACAAAATCAATTGACAAGCTTCCGCTTCATAGCCACCGGGGCCGTTCTCTCCCTCATCATAACAACATTCCTTATCTTCGGCACACAATACTCCAATGACGTCGCCAAATATGCTCTGAAGACATCCCTCAAGTCCACCCCACAGACATGCTTGCATACCTCATTACCCGAAGCAGGTAACGCCACAGCATGGGAGTTTATGGTCGAGCGCGATGGTGACAACCATGGACTTTCGGATGAGCAATGTCGACTGGCGTTTCCGAAGCTGTTTGTCGAGCTGGACAAGTCTGCATTGCTGAGGGAGGGCCATCGCATTACCTTTAAGGAGGTGGATAGTCTGCAAGTGGAGGATGGAATGGTGCGGGGCATCATTCATCATGGTGAGGTGTGTGTGTTGGAACCTGAATCATCCACGTTGGTTGATGTGTCTTCTAACCATGACTTGATGCGATATAGCTGTATGTAGTAGATTTTGGCGCGATGCTCGCAACATTTACGCGCGGGAAAGCCACTCTCCATGCGCTCCATCGTGCACTTGCCTCGTTTCCAGACCGAAGCAGTCTACCAGACATTGAATTTGTCCTGACGACGGAGGATTATAGCATTCAGGAGGGGCCAGTCTGGTCTTATTCCAAACGGGACGAGCAGGAGAATGTCTGGTTAATGCCCGACTTTGGATATTGGTCATGGCCGGAGGTCAAGATCGGCCCCTACAAGGATCTTCGCCGCCGCATTGCTGCAGTCGACGATGGTGAGGTAGCCATGGATGGGAAGTTCATTCCAGGTCTACCCTTCCAGAATAAGAAGAAGCAGCTCGCCTGGAGAGGAAGCGTGGCTACGAACCCAGAGATCCGGGGAAAGCTGTTGAAGGCAGCGCAGGGCAGGAGCTGGGCAAGCATCCGGGTGATTGATTGGGACGATGAGAATGATGTCCGATTCAATCTCCTCCCGATGGAGGATTACTGCCAGTATATGTTCCTGGCACATGCAGAAGGACGCAGCTTCTCAGGGCGTGGAAAATATCTCTTGAATTGTCGATCCGTGATGGTCTCGCATAAGCTGGTCTGGCGCGAGGCGCACCATGCTGCCCTCATTGCGTCCGGACCGGAGGCGAATTACGTCGAGGTCGAGCGCGACTTTTCAGATCTTGATCAAAAGATGGAGTTTCTCATTGATCATCCGGAGACTGCGCAACGCATTGCGGAGAATTCGGTGAAGACGTTTCGAGACCGGTATTTGACACCTGCTGCGGAGTCATGCTACTGGAGGCAATTGATTCGACAGTATGCTGCGTCTTGCGAGTTCGAGCCTGTCTTGTATACGCAGGACAATGGCAGGAGAGAGCCTCGTGGTGTTCCATTCGAAAGTTGGGTCCTTACAGGGTTCTAGATGTCTGTTCTATGTGCATGTTATGGCGTTGGCGGGTGTAATTATTATGATTCTTAGCGTTTATGAGTTATATGAGAGAGACATGGATGGTTGATTATGACAAGAATAACAATTTGTGTCAAATGTGCTATCATTATGAAAGGAGCTGGATTATTGTGGGCGAATCTGCAAAGAATCCCTCCGTAGCTGAAAAGGGACTAGGCGCAGCTGACCATCACAACTCCATTCTTCTGCCATCTTCACCTTTTCCACCTCATCCTATGGCATCATTCCGCATGTCAACCCAACAAAGCCCTCAATGGAATCCATCTGCCCGACTCTTCTCCTGCATGAAAAATCACGGCAACTCCGGTACGAGGAGGAATCTCAAGCACAACTGGCGTCTTCGTATCCGAGACTACCCGCAGAATCTCACCTCTCACTGGCACCTCCCATTGTCCGGCGCAATTGCACACTAACCCGATGTCGATCTCTTGAAGTCATCGTACATGAAGAAAGACCCTTACTAGCACTAATCGGGCTACCCCCACGCTTCCATGAAGAGTTAGTGAGGGATATAGTTTCCTACCATCACGCCCCTCCCGGGATCTGAGACGACCACGAGAATCTGCCCAAGAGCCGTTTCGTGATAAAATTCCTTCAATCGGGTAATTCGTGCGGGGTAAGTCGAGGTGAGATTTTTAGTATTCGGTATAAAGGTAGGACCTCACGAGGCCCACTTGTTCACCTGATGGGAACACGAGGTAGCCCTGCAGATCTCCCTGTACATCGGGTCTCAAGGGCCCAAGAGGCTCAAGCCTGGGACCAATCAGTGGAACTGCCGACCGTCGACTGTTCACCGACTAAGTTGATTTTCTTGTACATCATGGAAATCATGGAAAGAAACTATTGCCCTAAGTGAGGCAGATCATTGATTAATCTCATGGAGAGCATTGTTAGGGTTCCTTTTGCCGGAATAAGCGGTCGAAGGTAACAACACCCTCTTCAGGCAAGGGGTGAGGCGAAGCGCGGTTGCCATCGTATCTGTGATTTCTGGAAAGCCCAGTACAAAGCAGTACATGGCATCGCTAAGCCCTTGGCCTGATGAGGTTCCTACACGTTGCATGTGAAGGATGAGAGTTGGGATGCTACGTTGAGACCAGCCCCGGCCGTTAAGGTTGGGACTTGAAAGAGCACCCGATGTATGCCCTTCCGGCTAAGAAACCTACCCAGGCTTGGCGGACAACCAACAAAGGGCACCAGATAATTCATACGGCAGTCAGTTCTCCTGCACATGTGTCTGGTGTCTTCTGGGCAAGTCCACTCGATGGGTTACTCGGCATGAGGTAGGTGAGCGAACGGGAGAAAAGATGGGTCATGCATCACCAAACAACTCCCATGTGCCATGCATTTGACAGAAAATTGGAGAAAGGAGATGGGGGAAGGGTGTGATACTACACCAATTGACCGGTTGACATGAAGACAGAAATTGCTCCTGTGCTAAACGCCGCCGGATATGGATTTTGGCCTTGAGTAATCGGCCATGAAAGAGATCTTGTACAAGGTTTGGGATGCCCCGTGTCCCAAAATTTCGATCTATGGGAATAACTTCGGGAGCGGCTGAAGCCAATAGCTGACTCCACGTCCCTACCAGGAACAGGAAGATTGAGTCATGGTGATGAGGGGCCGCAGCCATGCATCATGCTGTAAGACCAGGCCAGGGAGAATTATGCAGTCGGTTTAGAAAATCCACGGGAAATTGTGTCAGCCTGCTTGAGGCACCACAGTCTACTCCAAGGTTGGTGGCATGATCATACTCTCACCCCTTGATGATCAGTGCTGCCCTTGCGTCTCCGCCTCATCCGACTCTTCTACCAATGTTCCTGGAAGAATCGACTAGGTTAATCACGGTTTATCTGAGCATAATTACTCCATGAAGTGGGTCCAACCCCAGATGATCAAATCAAGACTAACAACGCTAGTAGAATCATCAACGGCCCAGTAGTTGCTGCTGCGCCGAGGCAACTGGCCAAGCTACTACTGTTTCCGTCACATCCAATGCCAACCGATGTATCGCGTTCGCCCGGTTGGGTGAACATGTCACTATGGACTGCCTGTCAAAGCGAGTCATCTCTCGAATTCTAAATGCTCTGTCCTAGTGACCGGGGGCAAGTTCAATGGCATCTATTGGCTGGTGAATCCAGAGGCAGCCTTGCGGCACTTGCATAAAAAAGACTGAGAGCATTCACTTGCCACATCAGTCCTGACGCCAAGTCGATATAATATTGTCCGCTAGCTTACCTGGAAGATCCACTTAATTCCGACTATGCATATAGACGCATCTCTCGTCCATGCTAGCACCTGCCCTAGGCCAATTCCAGCTGGGCGATGTATCCATCCCGTCCCCCAGACCAGCAGACCAGAATTCTCCCGCAACGCTGGGCATCAAATGATCGATGCTTTTGTACAGAATGGGGAATAGGACCTCATCGATCATTGCAAGCGGTCATCAGCACGGGTGGGCCCTGCTTACTGTCCTGCTGTCGACGCTCACATATAAAGTAACAGCGAAAGCATCCCAGTGTATAGTAACATTGCATATACATCTCTTCCATCGCACCTAAATATAACAGAAGCAAACCCCCAACCGGGTCTGCAGACTCCTTACAGCAACACTACTACTACTACATATCCATTCCTCAATACTACCTACCTTCCCAAAACAAAGACACCATGCTGTGGACCCATCATCTCCCGACCCTCTGGGCGCTAACCCTCACCCTACTCACATGCGTACTATCCTCCCCCATCGACATCCGAGCCACAGCCGGACCCTGGCTAGCCCTAGACACGGACTTCCCAGACCCGGGCTTCGTCCAAGCCGACGACGACACCTGGTACGCCTTCGGCACGAACGGCAACAACCGCACGGTACAAGTAGCCAAATCCACCGATTTCAAAACATGGACCCTCCTAGATAAAGAAGCCCTTCCCACACTAGCAGGCTGGGAGACGCAAATCGACCACTGGGCTCCAGACGTAGTCCGCCGCGTAACCATCCCCCTCCCCCATCCCCTCTCCCCCCATTCAACCCCCTCAAAAAACTAACGAAACACACACACACAGAACGACGGCAAATACATCCTCTACTACAGCGGCGAAGCCCAATCCGATCTCCGCCACCACTGCATCGGCACCGCCATCTCCACCACCACGGACCCCAGCGGTCCCTACATCCCCAACCCCACGCCTCTCTCCTGCCGCCTAGACCAAGGCGGAAGCATCGACGCGTCCGGCTTCCTAGACAAAGACGGCACGCGATACGTGGTATTCAAAGTTGACGGCAACAGCATCGGCAACGGCGGGGACTGCAACAACGGGATTGCTCCACTGAAGCCCACGCCCATCCTACTCCAAAAAGTTGACACGGATGGGTTCACGCCCGTCGGCGACGCAGTGCAGATCCTAGACCGCGATGATAGCGATGGGCCGTTAGTCGAAGCGCCGAATCTGATTCTCCATGGGGATATGTACTTCTTGTTCTACTCGACGCATTGCTATACGGATGAGAAGTATGATGTGCGATGGGCGACGGCGGCGGAGATTACGGGCCCGTATACGAAGACGGGTAAGCAGTTGGTTAAGTCGGGGGATTATGGGTTGGTTTCGCCCGGAGGTGGCACGGTTTGTGGCTGTGGGGATCGCATGCTGTTTCATGGGTTTTGTGCGGAGGGGGATAGTAGGAGGTGTATGTATGCGGCGGAGGTGAGGATTCAGGGGGTGGAGGTTGAGTTTGTTTAGTAGTTTTATATTAGTAGTATTATATAGTAGTGTAGCTGGTTTGATGGTTGGGGGGGTGGATGGTGTTTGGAGTTTTAGGTTTGGATTGGTTTGATTTTGTGTTTTGGTGGTGTTTTGGGACTTGGGTTTTGTGCTATATACCAATCACGTTCGTTTTGGAGATGTCAATTCTATTGTCAAGTGCGAAACCTGGAAGAGTAGAGAGAGTCATTTCAGCTCTTTAATCTGCCATGGAAGCCGAAGTGGGATAGAACTTGCATTGGTATCCCATTCATTGAGATGCTAATAACAAACGAGCACTAATGCTAGTATCAAGTCTAGCCTCAAGTTGCTATTACTGTTCTAATATAGAAGAACATTGTATATATTTTTCAATTAACTCACTCACTCTCAAGAGCAATCATCAACAAACAAATGACCTACTGCCCGCCTGCGGACAACGCCGGGTCCTCCCTTTCTTGTATCATATCATGCAGGCTGGTGTGTGTATCTGTATCTATAGTTGAAAATGTTTTCCAGAAAAAAAGTATGTACATGGGAGTTGATAGAGGCCGTAAGAGGCAAATTTATTCAGGGGTATCTCAAAATCAATCAAGAACGGGTGTGGAGTGGAAAGGGATGATGATGTATGTCATGGCTCAACGAAGGAACACCAGGCCTGCCAATGGGAAACGCGATAGAAAGAAATAAACGTAGAATCTAAAATGTATGGTTAAAAATCAAATGCTAACAGCCACCGAAAGGGTACTATATGCAAGGGCGGAAACAAAGGGTTGGTTGGTTGGGGTAGCGTCATATCACGGATCTCCATGAGACCTGTTCATCAGGTGAGTAAGTCGGCGCTTGCTGGGTCACCGCTGCGCAGGTAGCATGAAGTCATGCATTGTGGTTCGCCATCGCTCGGGCGCCGGGGCTGCTGAAATAGCTTTCATCGATCTTTAGGATCCATTCCACTTTCTGGGCCTCGGTTCGGGCCGCAAACAGGAACGTGTTCTGTGCCCCGTACACTGCAAAGACATTCGGACGACCCCGTGGAGACGTTCCCCGGTCAGATCCGGCTGCTCCTGGGCCATCGAGGAGCCGTGCGAAGTCGGGTGCATGGTCAACTCGGGAATTGCGCAGGTTGATAGCGTTAATCTCATCACCGTCGGGAACAGAATAGATATGGAGATATGGACGACGAAGCTCAACAAAGCGCCGCACCCAGTGGCTGTTGGTATCATCAGGAGTCAAAAGATAGCCCGACTTCAGAGACGAATCGTTCTTCGGAAGAGCTTGGACGCTGGCAACAAAACGCGGCTTCAGTGATGCCTCGTCCTGAACTGAACTTCCATCATCGCTTGAAGATGACTGCTTCGCCCGCGAGGCAAAAGCCGCCCCTCCTGCAGGGGGCTCGGTGTTGCTTCGGACCAGAATTGCCTCGATTGGATCGGTCTTCTTCCCCCAGAGGTCGACGTATTTCTGAAGCAATTTAGCCCTGCGGTCGGCACGCTCCTGGCTACGCAGGGGAGTTGACCGTCCGCTGCGTGGAGGTGATGCAACAAGGCTATTGGCACTCAAAGCCCCTTTAGCTGCATTCAACTCCGCGACACGTCGCCTTCGTTTGCGGGCGGCTATATAATCCCGGACAAGCGAGACTTTGCGCGGAGCCCAGGTGACCAGGAGCTCTTCGCCCTTCACATAGTCGTTTTGTGTATTCATCCGCCAGAGATCAGCCGCGCGTTTGGCGGACACCGGGCGGACGACTAGGGAGAACATGCGAACTGTGGAGTGCACAATACGCGTTGAATTGAAGAATTGTTTGAACATGGATTGAGGTCGAACATACGTTCGGCCTTGAATCTGGAGGGTCAGGTCTATCTCAAAGGGAACGGGTTCCTGCAGACGGGAAGACAACAAATCCCATCGGAGAGTCACTTGGACACGATACTTGTCTGCAGTGACTCGATCAAGCAAGAGAGACCCGTGTAAGCTGGAGTCCCATTGACCTATGATGGTGATATTTGATGTCCCATCCGCGTTTTCCTTCACGTTCGGCTCCTGGACGAACTTCAGCGCAACGTCTGGTGTCTGCAGGTCCTGGTCAGGGATCTTGCCCCAGGGATCTAGCAATCGCACTGAACCCACGCGGATATTGGTGATATTGTCCCACGGCAGGCTTTCAGTCGAGCTGTAAGTTAGGTTCACCAGGATCCGTCGCTGCAATCCCTGATGGAGCTGGTAAGTACCTGCATCGAGGCTGTTGCTCTGGACAACCTCAACGGGGAGATATTCTCCGGACTCCGCTAATTCGAGTACCTGCGCCCGGGCGAAAACATCATGTCTCTCTTCAGAATAAAATTCGGTCTCTGCAATACGCGGTGTTTTCCGCTTCTTGGGAGCCGGCTCGGCAGAGTCGCGCATGTCATCCCAACTAAGGAGCTTGTCCAAGTGCATTTGTGTCACCTTAGCGTAGACACAGATTTTCAGCGCGGCCGTCCGTGGACTTGACAGCGGCAAACTCATACTATGGACGCTCTCGAACCGCACAGGTGTTTCATCGAAGCCGGTGATCATTTGAGTGGTCGTAGCTCCCCCTTCGTCAGAAATTCCGGGTACAAACAATTGCGCGTGGACATCCGACCCTTCCCATTCAGCAAAGCCAATCATATCACGCATCACGACGTTGAACTTGAGAGTAGACGAAGGCGCCTGAGCCGAAGAGGGTTCCAGGGACAGCCTAATGATGCCTATGACATTTTGTGTATATGGCGAGGTAACTTCGACTGAAACGTCCTGGACTCTGGTCTCAAAGACCGCCGTGAGAGGGATATCTGCGTCACCAACCAGCGAATATTGAGGCGAACACGGCTCCGAGAAGGGGTTTTCAAGCTTGAAATGTTGGACGTAGTCTGGCCGGTCGATATACTGGTGCAATTGTCGCATAGCCTGAACGCGGCGCTGGAGCTTCTCGATAGACCATAGGTGGATGACACATTGCTTGAAGTCAATCACACGTACTGCAACACAAGGTTTCTTGGCTTCATCTAGAACAACGTCCTCGTCTCCGGAAATGCCATTCAGTACAAGGTCGTAGGACGAGGCCATGTTATGCCCGTGGTCAATGATCGCAAACTGGAATACCACATTCTTGTCCATTATGTGGCTCATCACTTGAGCCTCCTTCAACAAAGACGCATGCTGGAGCACTTTCTCGGCCATGCGAACGTAGTTTTGCTGAGACCAGTGGCGGAAGACTGTCCTGGCGACTTCAAGCTCCCTGTCGTCCAACTTGGCAAAACCATTCTCATAGATTCTGGGTACCGGTTGGCCTAGGTCCTTCATATGAGACTCAAAAGCTTCCTTCTGCTTTTTCAGTTGTTCTTCGAATTCTTCCTTTGCAGTTCGCAGGGCTTCCTCCATTCGAGCCTTTTCGGAGCGTAGGTCATCGACTCCCTGGGTGGAAGAGGCCTCAGCATTCCTCAGCTTGTCCTGATACTCTTCTTTCTGTCGGTCCAACTGGCGCTGCATATCCTGACGCACCGATTGCAGAGTAGCCTCGCCCCCATTCTGGCCGTCATTTTCGTCGTTCGGATGTGGAGTTCCCGGCATCGTGATGGCAGTGTCCAACGAGAAATTATCGATCGTTCCATTGGACATGTACTTATCCCGCACAGGGAACGAGCTGAGCGAATCGGAGTCTTCCTCGTTCTCCATTAGTCCACGACGAGTTGCCCGCACTTTCTGTACATCCTCGAACAAGGCGTCCAGCTCATCGTCAGGCATATGGGAGATTTGATCCGGCCCCAGCACCGCACTGACAGCTTCACGGCGAGCATAAAACCAATCGGATTCCCTACCACGCTGGGAGGGCATCGGGGAATCCGCTCTGCTCGAATCGCCGTCCACCTCCGAGCCTGTTTTACTCAGGGTTCGATCATGGGTTTTGTTCGGTGCCGGCGAGCCCAGTTGACTTGTAGTAACGGAATGACGCAGCAAGCTCTGTTCAACTCGTTCAGCACGCGCTTCCTGGGGATGGTTGAAACGGAAGATATGAAAATCACCCAGGATAATGCGGAATCCACTCTTGAGCCGCTTCGGTTTATCGATCCGCAATCCATTCACCATGACTGCTGCGCCTTCGGTGGGAATAATGGTAACAACATTGTCCACGTTCTCAAACCTACAGTGATCGTCCAAGATTTTCGAGCCGTTCAATCTTATTTCGACATGGCTGCCCTGGTCCATGTTTCCGACTATGGTGGTTCCCGGTTTGATGTTGTAAACGAGACACTCGGCGAGCAGCGGGTCGTCGCTCAGATTGACCAAATGTGGCATCTTCTTCGGCGTGCTCAATCCGATGAAACCTTTCTCGATGCTGATACCAAGTTCCTCCAGAGCAGACTCTCGCTCTTTGTGAATCTCTTCAGTCTTTGCCAACTTCTCCTCCCAAGTTTGATTCAGATCCTTGTAAAGCTTCTCGCTCTGGTTCAACTGTTCGACGATTTCTGCCTTGCTGACTTTCGTAACTGAACCATCCGGCTGTTGTATGGAGACGAGTTGCTTCTCTAGAGGAGTATCTGGAGGGTAATATTCTTCTGCTGGTATAGCGCCAGCAGCGCCGCCTGCTCCAGGACCTGCAGCACCACCCCCAAGTTTCGACCGGAGTTGGGCCAACTCCTCCTTTAACTCTCTGATCATTCGTGCGTTGGGGTCTTCGTTCACAACGGCATGGTTCTTGATTCGCTTCGCCGAGTCTGCATAACGGAGAGTACTGAGAGTCTCCTCGAAGTTGATGTCGGCGGGTGAAATCGCAGCAATCATGGCTGTCATGGAGTTACCTCCCAACGAGTCCTTCAACAACCATGTCAATATAGAATCACGATACGGAACCATTGATGCGTTCTTCTTTTTGCCAGAGGCCACGTCAGCGAGAGCGGCAATGACACGACCAAGGGTCGACAGCGAACGGTTAATTTCCGCTCCCTCCTTCAGTCTCGCACCGGTCGCGCCAGTAGAATTTGCTCTTTCCGAACCTGCAAGATCGACCAAACTAATGCGCGACACCTTCTCCGTATCCATAGACGTTTCCGCATCATGGCGCTTCTGTGTGAGGGTCAACGTAAACACGGCGTGGGAACGACTGGAGGTCTCGTTCATGTTTGTGGCAGCAACCGTTCTAGCCTTATTACCCTCGTCCATCAAGTTCTCGATCTCCTCAAAAGAGCGCACTACAAGCTTGGCCAGATCCTCGACGTAGGGACCAGTCGACGGATGCTCACGGACTTTAAGGTTGCCCTTATTCGAAGGGTTGAGCAAATCACGGACTCTCTCATTGTAGATTTCAAGATACGAGACTTCCACCGTACAGCCGAGGTTCTTGTCTTGCTGGATTGTGCGAATGCGCTCGAACATATCCTGGCAAATTCTCGGAATCACACCGTACTCCTTGCCGTAACCCATCATGGAATACGATTTTCCGGAACCGGTCTGACCGTAGGCGAAGATACAGTTGTTGTAACCCTGGAAGGCATTGTCTAATAGCGGTACACCCAAGTCGAGAAAGAGGTTGTCCTGGCTCGCAAAATTCGGGGCGTTTTTGTCGAAAGACCAATACGATCTGTCGAAGGCGAATGATTTTGGTCCTCCATCCCCGCCTTTCCCTCCACCAGCCTTGCGGGCTTTATCATCGGCGCCCGGTGGAGTAGAAAGGACGGTTTGGTTGTCTTTCATTTGAACAATACATTTTGCACCACGGTCGATTTCTAGAATGCGGGAAGAAGACACCGGGGTCAGTCCAGTCTAGGGGGAGGGGGGGGCTCTTGGTCGCATTGCCAATGCCACAAGTCACTCACCTCTGCTGTTGAAAGGCCGCACTCTCACCACCACCTTGATATTTCCTCCACCAGCCATGTTTGCTTCCTCCCCATACACCTGGGTCCGATCGCCTGGTTCCGCGTGTTTATAAGAAGGATCGCAAGGGGGTGAACCGACACCAGCGGGAAACGCGAGTCGCGAACGCTACGAGGAGCGCCGCTCTATCGGATAGTGCAAGCTGATGTGTTCCTTGTTGGCGGCAGTTGGATCAATGCTAGTTGAGTTATTGTAGTAAAGTGTTACTGGCGAATTGACGGTCTGAAACGGATGTCAACAAAGACGTCATGTATATCGGGGGGGTGGTTCTGCGGGCGGACAATCCGGCGCGTTCTAAAGGGGGGAAAACACGATGATAACGGGAGCGGTGGGAGTTGACGGTCGTCTGTAGCGCAACCAGACCGCTAGAAGAGGTTGCCAGGATCGTCTGGGTCGAGCAGAAGGTGAAGGGATTGGAAATGAGGAGGCGGAAGATAGGCCGACTCGGTCGCTCTCGCTCTCTCCTTGCCCCAAGCACGGGGAAAAGCCACATGAGGGATCGAAAGGGCGGGTTCGAGGCGGATCACGTAAGCAGTCCCGTGTCCCAGGTCAGCCAATCAGCAGCCCCGGTATTTACTCCGGACTCATCAAGCCTCTTCATTGTCCCTTTCCTGCCACTGAGTGGATGCTCTCTCTCTCGGTCCTCATTGTGCCTGCACTGTTATGCAGGCACACTTTCTCCATCGGCCTGCTCAAGCTCCTGATTCGCTTCAGAGGACATAAAGTATCTGATCGATCTTGAGATTCAAGAAGCAGTGGCTCTGCAATAGGTCCCCCCGGTGATGGTTCTGCAGCAAGCTTCTCCGCCCGGTTCCAGGGTTTCCATCCACTAATTAGCAAGGCCAGAGGTTGGTAAGGTAGTCTAGTACTACTTCTTGAATAAGGGTTGATAGATCCAAACATTAACGCTGGAACATATCTGCCGGCTATCGTCCTCCTTCGCTACAGATTTATTTAAGTACGGGGTTACATGCGGATGCCGGTGTCCATAGCACCGGGCTATAGCCTATTCCGCTCTCCAGCACAGTCTGCCTCCCCTCGTCCAGAGCCATGGTACACATCCGCTGTCATATAGATAAGAATATGAGCTCGAGAAAAGCCACATTTTCTTTGTCTACCCACCATTCCCACACGACGAGACAAGGTTATTATTGAGCGATCATTTGCTTCCTACATAGAACTAGCCTCTAGACCAGTCCAGCTCGTAAACCAAAACAACTTCTTCTCCATTTGATTAACCCATCCAAATTCCTTCTCTCACACCCACATCGTAGTTCTAATATCCATCCCGACCAGGCGCGTTTGCATAGCCCATGTTTCAAATAACCCCGCATTATCGAAAGTTCTTCGGGCACCACCCATGTATTATTAATCGGTATAAACTTTCCACTGCTGGAAAATCAAGGGTGGATGGGAGCCCAATCGGCCTATCTGCATACACGAGGAGCAGCTACCCGGAACCCTGCTGACATCGCTTAGTACTATGGCACAGGCGACCATGAAATTCCCAGTTGATTCCCCAGCACTGCCACATCTCTAATCGCACTGTATCTGGCAAGGAAAATCGACGCCCATTTGGGAAGAATAAGTTTCTGACTTTAGCTTGGTTTCGTTCGGATGCATTTGCGTTTGTCTCAGGATGTCACGCGTGAAGCCACGGTTTTGTATGAAGTTTGCATGTCGGGGAACCTAGTTAATTGAGTGTTAGCCTTTCTCTCTCGCCGAAATTTCGTAGTATTTCGTTGATTGTTGCGTTTATATAGCATCCCACTATCGCCGATAAAAGTCTGCCACAAAACCTCTTAAAGAAGGTATTTTGATACTTCTGAGCAATTTATAGCGAGTACCGGACGACGGGATAGCCTGATATATTGGGTGATGATGGTGGTGGGTAGGTTTTGGTCGAGAACTGCACGAACAACTGGCAGTCTGCGGTGGACCGGAAGATGGACCTGTAAGACATGGCCATGTAGCCAGCGGAAAGTGTCGGTGTCAATCAACTTATGACGAAAGACAGTGTTGGTACCCAATCAGTGCCAGTTCTTTGTTAACGGGTGTACATGGGCCATAGACTATGTATCTCATAGGTAGGAAAGTACATTGGTACCTAAGTGCCCAACTGGGAGGGTTTGGGGGATGGGACCACCACGGTCTTACTACTGCCAGTGTACATTAAAAAAGACTTTCGCTTGTCCCGCAGGAAAAGTGCCGTTAAAGTCATGTCTTGAATGAGATAAAGTTATCCCAAGCCGGGGAGTCAGTTTGGGAAGATTCCTTGTTACATCGTTGATATGGTTTCTTCTCTTATTTTATCTGCCGGCTGGGCTCAGCAATAGGAATAGTGACGGACTCTCTCCCGCTCTCTTTCTGACTTCAACATTAATGTGTCGTTTATTACTCGTTACTGGCTTGATGTCAAGCCTATAATGTGCGACAAATTTGTGTTCTCCAAGCCGTGGGTACTTTGTCCGTCATACCTGTTGTGCGTGGGACGCAAAGAGCGTATACCTATCGAATCTTACCGAGCAATACGCAAAAAGGTGGGAGCCTGCCCTGTTATCAGCAGGTAATCGAGTTTGGTGAGTCATTAAATTGTCACGAAGGAATCTGTTTAGTGAGTGAATTGGAGCAATCTGTAATTTCGGGGTTTCCGACAACAGTATCAACAAATCCGAACGCCAGCTCAGAGAAAATCACGAAATACAGCGCTTAAGGAGGTGGCCGTCCATGTGACAAGAAATTGGCGCACTGGGTTTCATCTGAAAAACAGAATGCTATCAATTTCCAGGCTGCCTAATGGGGTTCCCAGAAGAGCTGGTGGTGACAGATCGTAACGCAGGAATACGCCCCAAAAGGACCGAGACTGCATGGCCTGGTTTGAATCAAGGCCACGGTAGCCAATTGACGAGGTGCAGTAGCAGCATCCGTCACATTGAGAAATTGCCCTATTGAGGAGCGAGAGGGCGTGCGGATGTCTTATTGGGTGCTCGCACTTGACGAGATCTTCCTGTCCATTCCTTTGCCCCTTGCAAAGGCCAGGGCTACCGCTGTTTAACCTGGCCATTCGCTGTGTGATGTTATGACATCGGTCTGATGATAGCAATGTGTAAGGGGCCCTTTGGAGTGCTCACAGGCCGTGCTTCTGAGGCCTCCACTGCATACATGAGACAACCTAGGTTGGCGTAAAATTGGTTTCATTCGAGGACCTGTAACCGGTATTCAGTCCGCAGATAGCGTCAACTGGTCTAGGCAAGCTCCGTAAGCCACGTCGTCCACTGCGTAGCCGCTGATCTTATGGATGGGACGGCACAGAACGTAAGGTCAGGGGACAACAGCTATCGTAAAGCCCCGCGCTTTGCGACGGACTTTGATACTTACAACCCCGACGCAACCAAAGACCGTGAAGAATCTGCTTCTCCTTGCGTCCCATCTTCGGTTCTTTATTCGATTGATCAGTCACCGGTTAATGCTGAGAATGCTCTTATACCTCGGAGGACAGCCGAGCAAGCCATATCATGAGATCTGCACATGATTGTCTTGGAGAATAATGTATCCCACGGAGATAAATGACGTTCACAGACCGTTTGTGAGAGCATGTCGCAGGACATTTCAAAAGGGCGTAATGCCCTTTAGCTGCTGGCGGAGCACAGGTATGCCCCGTGATCATCATGACAGCAATTTTTCAGTAAGAGTCGATAACCATACCTTCTTAGCTTGTTTTTCCAAACAACCCGTTTGTATTGTCATGGATGAAGTGCGCTTGCAACCCACCCCTGTTGTTGTGTTGGTTAATCTGCTCCTCCATAGTTGATCATGGCGCATACAAGAGTATAGGGCCCCCGAATGCTACCCTAGGTCACTCAAGCTCTGGACGCTCCCACATCCCTAGAACCAGAGTGGCAAGATGCTCTTGGCTGCCAGGAGAATGAGTTTCATGTACGGTTCAGTAAGTTTGTAGTAGTGATTGACCGAGTCTATGTCACTTGAGATCGTTAGCTGTCACATCAAGCGCCTCCGGTTTGAATGATACTGCTAGAAAAGTCTGGATTAAGGGTCATACATATTCCTGGTGCACTTAGTGCAACACTGGGTTCACTCGCATGGGGTTGCAATAGAAATCCTGTGGAAGGCAATATCCAGCCACGAAGAGAATCGGTCGATATCGGTCTTCATGCGTTCTTTGACTGCAAACCATATAGTCACATAAGTTGGAAAGTAAAGTAGGAGGCCAGAAGAGATGAGACAAACGAGCTATACTTACTCCGTAGGAGCAGGAATTCGAAAGCAACGCTTACCAGGTTGGACGATGTACACATCAAAAGGCAGCCGCCTACTTGTTCACTGAGAGAGGTTAGCTTGTAGCACATAAAAATTGATGAGAGGATATATTGCTTGAAGCGTGTTCATCACACGGAAGACATATAAGTTACCATAAGGATGCCCCATCATCGAGGGGAGGCAAGCGAATTCATTCGTAGATGAATATGTAGATAGAGGTTCCCGGGGGAATGGTTAGTGGGACCTTCACAAAGCCTCGGCGCCTGTTGGTGCCAGGCTGTGACATGGTACTTCCACGGACCGCACTGCCTTCCGATACAACTACAAATTTACGGAAAAACCGAGAGAGAATTGACACAAGAAATACGTAATTGGTCATCTAAGAAGGTATAGATCAGGCTAAACCAACATCTCTGAGCGACAGAGACGAGGGTATCCTTCTAGATCAGATCGCCGACGCATTCCTGTAACATTGCACATCGAAACGAGCCTGCCGGAGGGGATAGAAAATAAAAGAATTTCTTGAATTCATACTGAAACGTCGACGAGGAGCGGTGTGGCGGGGAAAGGCTAGTTGACTTTGACGTCAGATGGCTCGAGCTTCCCCCATGACAGTCAGTGCTGAGAGAGTTCGACCGACCCAATTTACGGACGTTCCATATACATGCCGTAATCGCGTTTCCGTTCACGTATGTTTGTACGGTCCGCATACGCGATGGGCTGTATTGAGATACGCCGGTACTTGCCGCCTTCCGCGCAGTCCATTCAGGAGAGAGAGCAAGAGAAGCAAAACAAGTCAATTGGAGGTTATTGTTGCTGCTATATAACCTGCTCTTCTGAGGAACCTGCTCCTCTGGCTTTAAAAGAATTCCATAAGGTCTATTGTTATGGTTTAGTTGATGCAAGATCATGAAAGTGCACAGATAAAATTGTGAGACTGATGAGTCTCCATCCGAAGACCCAAGCGGTCAAGCTTCAACACGTGGAGTGGAACAGATCGACACCCAATCTTCTTTGCCATCGTGCCGGTCAGTCTTCAAGAAGGGAATCCATTCTGATAGTAAACTACTCTATAGATCCTCCTTTCGCTTAGGTCTGTACGTACTTCTTGACAGCCATTATGACTGTGGGATGGATAAGAAGTCCGTATCTCGGAAGAAGAAAGAGAGACTTTCGTCATGGCTACGACACGTGCAAGGCCCTTGGTCTTAGTAGCGTCTATAAGGCTTTTCTTGTGCAACATACAACTTATGACTTAAATAAAATACCATGGTAGTTTTGTTCGATCTTATCTACTGTGACGGTCAGATACCATTTCGCCTGCCTTTCTCTCGTCAAATGAAGCAGACCCAATGGCTTAATCCCTCGAATTCACCTTAAATATACTGGGACATGGATAGTGACCAGTTCACTACAACCCGAAGAAAGAAAACCGGCGGCTTGATCCGCAGTATTCAATCCGCGGTAGGCTACTCGTACATCTGGGTAATATACCATTTTCACTGTGTAAATCTAATAACGCTAATACTTGATGAGAGGTCTCTGTAAGTCACTTGACCTCAGCCGGCGACAACTGAATATACTGACTACTTGACCTCAGAAACACTACGAAGGGTTGTAATAGTGTCGCTTCAACAATCCTCAACTTTTGTATTAGTTCAGCATTTGTAGTAAACAGCAGAGAGTCAATAGTATTTAGTAGCCAGATATATGCATAACGGTGGTAAGCAATGATGGAGGTCGGATACGATGATAAATATATATATCGAGTCATCCTACTACATTAGTTGATGCTTTATTTAGTCCCGCTAAAAGTATATGTAGTCCACACTGGTCGCAATCTCGGGAAATGAGTTATATGTGGCTAATTTTCTTCTGCAAAATGAGCAGACTGGGCCACTGTGACCTTACTCCATCTACAAGTTATGCAGAGAAGCATCAACAATTACTGTGCTGAGCCTTAGACTTCAATTGTCGCTCATTTCGTACCGGCTGATATTTGCCCGCTATCTACCTGCCACAAGGGAAATGGAGATTCCCAGGGAGTCTTACCTAGATTGGTCATATAACCGAGGCTGGCCGTGGCTTCGATCGACTCCGCTGACGTTTGGGGGTATTCAACGCGTACGTAAGAAAAGCAAGAATCGAGCCGCGCTTCCTGCGTAGAAACAACAATGTGATCCCATGGCAAGAAACTGCATTGTGCATTAGTAAAGTGTCAGTCAGTGTGATAGCACGGCGCTTGTCTTCCTTCCTCTTCTTTTCTTTTTCATTTAATTTTAAATTTCATCTTACAACCCTTATTTTTTATTAATTTTTATTTATTTGGTTATATTTTATATTATTATTTCTTCCAATCCTACCTGTCCACTTCATTCAGCCCGTTCCCTGTTTTGTTTTTCTTGGTACTTCGCGTCTCGAGGTGGCATCTGCGTTTGTTGCGCATTGAGCCGTTTCACCTTATTCTTTCGATTTCTACTCCGTAAGGCCGAGCACAAAAATCTGCGTAAGAAGAACAGCCTTTCTTACTGCTTTTCCCGTCCAGGGTGGGGGGAACAACAACGCAAGTAGGAGAAAAAGTAAGAATAGAAGAAATGATGAAAGACAGCGATTGCAAATCGAAGCCAGTCACATAAGCCATCTGGTTAATGTAAAAGCATGATTCGCAAAACAAAACCAAAGAAAGCCCAGCTGGACCAATGGGGGGTGGCTGGTCGACCTGACCTTGGGTCATACAGGTTTTATTCCCGAGGGCGATTCGCCAGATTTGGGTTGCACATGATGAACATCACGAATTCGGGATGGCCGGATGCTTTGCATAGTAAGTGAGTAGTTACGATGGGTGGTTATCTTAGATAAGAAATGATTAATTTTTTTTAATTATATTTCTTATTTTACTTTTTAATTTTTATTTTCGGTATTTATATGTAATTTAAGGACACGGGTGAGAATTGAGGGTGAGATGTGATACTCTTACTCAACCCATTGTCAATTTCTCCCAAACGGGTCGGGAAATTGGGGAAAGAGAGAGAGAGAGAGAGAGAGAGAAAGAGAGGGAAGGGGGAGGGGATGGGGTTTCAGGGAATAGTGGAGGTTGGTTTTGTGATAGAGAGTGAAGAACCGAGATTGAGCAAGCTGGGCCCGGCGGCACGGAGAGACAGAGAGAGAAGAACTAAGTAAGTAAGACTGTAAGAGAGTTCTGTGGTGTGTCCTCGACCCCAAAGTTTCCCGGGGCCATCCACCACCATCCACCATCCCATCATCATCTCACCTCGGAAAAAAAGGCTGGGTACTCAAGAAAAAAAAAGATGTGGAAAGATACCATACAAGACGGATGATACAATGACCATACAATACGGGAGTACAATACATGCCATACCTAATAGGGCAAAGAGCGCAGACGCTAAGTGGAGCGAACCCTGGGGTCGATACCGGACAGTATGGTCGTGGCCTTTGTTGGTCTGAATCCTCGCCGCCTTGTCCGCTAACGAGCTGCCGAGCCACTCAGCTACCCTCTGAGCGCGTCCGGTACAAATGCCCCATCGCTCGCCCCTTCTTCTCGCTGCGGCTTTCTCTCTCTGCTCCCTCTCGTTGGTCATCCAACCTCTCCAGTCCTTGCGTGCCCTCCAGTCAACAACGTCGGACTGTCCTGGCTGCGCAGAGCCCATTGGTTTCCTCCCAATTTGTTTTTTTCCTACTCGCTGCTTGCTTGGGCTGGCTTCAGATTAACCCGTCTGCTCTTGTCCAACCCAATCACTGCCCGCCTTTCCCTTCCTTCCCACCCCATCCGCTTCACTCTCGTGATTGATCATTTTCCATCCTCCCTTTCTGTCATTACCACGGTTGTGGTCGAATCATCATCTAAGGTACGTTTTTAGCCATCTTATACTATCTACTACCTACTGCTGCTTCTGCTGCCCCTTGCTCAACTTTGTAATTTTTTTTTTTTTTTCCCTATTTTGTGATTGTATACTTTATTTTGACGCGCACCCAATCATTTGTATTCTTTATTGTACCGAGGCCGGATCTTCACAATTCATTGGAGGTTCTCACTCACTCGCTCTCTTCTTTCCCACCCCCGCTCCATCAGTTGTCTGTTACTTCCATTGTTTGTCTGGTGCATCTGCTTTCTGCTGTCCAAACATCTAGTAGCTATGACCATAAGCTACAGCCCTCTCCACTGATTCTAGTCTATTTTTGGTCTTTTTTATTATTCTTTTTGAGTTCTTTGCTTTGTTCTCCGAACCACTCCACTTTTTGATTTTATCTTTAATTTCCCGTTTATTCTATTCGCTCTATCTCTGTTGTTCATTCTTTTTGCATACGCGCTTCTGTTTTCCATATACCATATACCCCTCCGTCATTTTGGTTTTATCATTGCCCATTTTGTTTTGTCGCTTCGGTCGCGGATCAACCCGGGCCGGACTGACATCAGCGGCAGCCTACCGTGCGGTGAAAGAAACGGACCTTCCCTTTTGCCTGTCCGCCTTTCTCTCGTTGGCAGAGCTTCGTCGCGTTGCCATCGCCCCGCGAATCATCACAGGTTCCTTCCCTCGTGACTGAAAGCCCTCGTCAAATCATTACAACGAGTCGCCTTTCTGTGTTGCTCTGCATTGGAGGCTTTTCTGCCACCTGCGGAGAATAACCCTTGATAAAGGTAATTAACCTTTTCAAACCACGAGGCAAGCCCGCCTGTTGTTGTTCTTGGCTCCCTCTCTGGCCGCGGCCCGCAAACCGCGACAGCGCTGTGATTCCCTACTGCCCACCCTCTTGCTACTCCTCCCCCCCCCTCAAAAGTTATGGCTGGCGTTACCCACCTTCAAAAGCAAATCAAACCATTACATTTAGTGTCGCATGTACTCTAAGTACTGCACGCAAGACTCTCTGCGACTCATCCTATCATCCCCGGTCCCTGTGAGCTTCTGCTATGGCTTATGCATTGTTATGTTTTCTTGTCGCGTTTCAGTTGCAACCCCGACTCCCCGCCCCATGATGGCCCAATCACCACGCGTCAATCCTTGCCTTTGCTCTTCTCTGACAGCTATCTAACATCATGACCTGTCAATAGGCGCGCATCCGATTTTCTACGGTCGGAGACTGCAGAATAGCTCCTCCGTCACGGCTGTTTGATTCCCTGTTTTCAAGTGCCGTTTTTGCGCGCGCGCGCAAAACTCCGCCTACCCTTGTTTGGGGTCGCGAGTGCGTCGCTTTTGAACAAGGTATGTTGCCGGCTGCATCATGATTCCACTTGCCAACGCATACATCCTTCAGCCCTGAAAAGACTAAACCGCCACGATGTTTCCCCCCCCCTCCTACCTTAACCCCCCCCCACCACCATCAACTTGACAGTTCCTATCCCCCCTCTCTCCTCCAATCGTGACAGCGCACAAATCAGGAGCCGAAAGTTTCGGGATGGTGGGAAAGATAGATGCTAATAGTCTTTTGTAGTCCACTGAGCCGTGCAAGCCCCTCTCAGGCGTACCCTGACGACAGCGTCGAGTGGCATTATAGTTCGGGAGACCGCGGACCAGGATAATTCCAAACTCCCGGGCCCAGGCGAACTAGCTCACCAGGCTGCTCTAGCACCGCCTCATACGAACGTGGCCAAGCAGCCTGACGAATTTAGGAACTGAGCAGCATTACCCAGGTAGCCTGCCAGTTGTCGTCTCCTTATACTGCGTAGTCTTTGTGTCTGTGATAGACTTGAGCGCCATTATCAAGAAGATCGCGCTTTGTCTGACAACGCATCAAGTGCGACATCTTGTCGAGGACATCCTGGTTCCCTGCATCGAAGCCCAACCACGTTACACTTGGAGGCGAACGTAAGATTTCCACAAAAAGACGCAGAACCTCCGGAAAAAGCGGGCTGAAGAATTTCGGCAAACAAGCGTTCACCTTTGGGCGAATTTTCTTGACGCCAGAAGTTGATGAGTGGGTGTATTGGCAAAACAAAAACAGAGGTACGCGCCCCCGGTGTAAGCGCCTTTCCTCTGTTCCCATCCAACCCCCACCCGCAATCCAGTGACCGTTTGGCGCTGCGCTCCATGCTGACACTATGAACCAGAGCCTGCAGACTTTCGCAGTTCACTCGTCGAATCAGTAAACAACCACCTTTCCTTTGTGCACGACGGTGATATTGTCAAGTGCAACTGTGTGGTTGACAACCTATCATTCTCCCTTATTTCCGCCACTTCGGTCTCAGACGAGTGAAATCCCTTGGGATTGGCCCATCTTTGGCCGTATTATTGGTCCTAGACTCCTGGTTCCTGACAGCCAGGGCACTCCAATCACGACTCTAATTGGAAGCCTGACGGTAAACCCCGTCGCAGCTCCATGATGGAATACCCGCCGCAGTATCAACAGCCTCATGGCCAGCATCCCCACGCCTCTTCCCACATCACTGCCCCGTATCAGACGGCTCCTCAGAATGCTGGGTCCACGGTGGGGTCGATGACTTCTCCCACCAACCCTCAAGCGCACATGCAACAAGCTCACGCTACACATCAAGCGTCCCCAATTGTTCCCTCACAATCTCATTATCAGCCTGCTCAAAATGCCCCGGGCTCTGTACATCAGCAAATGAACTTCCCTCAGTCGTATGGAGTCACCACGGCGATGCCACAAACGTATGGTATCTCCCCTACGCAAGCGGCCGCAATGGCCACCGCTGCAGCATCGGGCCAATTCTATCCTTTACATCAAGATTCGATGGCTGGCCAGATGGCTCCTGGTCCCCGCGGATCGCCGCGCATGGCTGGGGTGCAGGTCAAGAGTGACCGCAATCCTCGTTCTCCACCCCAGATTCCTGGCCAGATGCCATCGATGGGATCCCAGGTACAGATGTCCCAGAACGCCCAGATGCAGCAACGTCGCATGAGCCATGTCAGTAGCCCACATGTTCAGAATGCCCAACCACTTATCAATCATGCCGGCCGGCCTTCGGTGCCCCCATCTATGCCGCCACCACCTCAGCCGCCTGTCCAGCAGAGCCAACCTTCGCCGGATATGGTCGCTGGCGCCGCTGAGGAATCGCCGTTATACGTGAACGCGAAGCAGTTTCATCGCATCCTGAAACGACGAGTGGCTCGCCAAAAACTGGAGGAGCAATTGCGGCTCACGTCCAAGGGCCGTAAGCCATATCTGCACGAATCGCGTCACAACCACGCCATGCGCCGCCCTCGTGGTCCCGGTGGGCGATTCTTAACGGCTGACGAAGTGGCTGCTATGGAGAAGAAGCAAGCATCCGGATCTACGACCTCTGGGCTTGAAGCCGCTGATGATAATGCGGTGAAACCTCCTGGCGATAACCCGCCTTCTGCACAGAAACGAAAATCAAGTGATGTCAACGATGACACCATCAACTCGTCTAAAAAGACGAAAACCAGTGCGAAACCGAGCACTAGTGCGGACGAAAGCGAGAACGAATCTGCTGAGCTGTCCGACGAGGATGGTTGAGCGGTACCTTACTCCAGGATCGTCTTGCGAAAATCCTGCTTACCCACAATAGCCCTTTATGATGGATGGATGTCTGGAATTTCTTTTACCCCCGTCTTCCTTGACCTTTACTCCCCGCAGCGAGCGACGTGCAACTGCCCCATCTTTTCTCGTACTTATTGACGTTATTCCCACCTCCCTCTGGTTTCGTCGGAAACGCCTCGTTTCACCCGTTTGAAACTTTTATGTCTGTTTATATTGTTATGCTGGCACGAAGTATTATTACTATTTTCCTATTTCCTTTCATCTAACGATGTTCAGCCTGTTAGGATTGCATGTATGAGATGATTATGTTTTGTTATTTTCTTTTTCATTTCTCGGGATGGTGCACGATTCTCAAACTCATGAATTGTTACGTTCGTCCCACTGTCGATGCTGCATGACTCGGTCTCTAATACCCGAAGGTCGTGGTTTTCACAGCTGGCGGCAGCCTTCTTATATGTCTTCTCGTCAAGCTCCCTTGTCGACAAGCAACTCAATGTCATTGGCAACTTTGGTGTACTGTGTTCCTTCTTCCCCTGTGCCTGAGTCCGCCGCTTTGATCCGGATCCGTTCTTGCGTCGTGCTTCGGGCCTTGGTTGGTATTAGATTGAAGCCCATCGCTGGTAAAATTAAACCCCGAGGTTGGGTGGCGCGGCGACAGAGCCTACATCTTTTGGCGGTGGATGGTGCGCGCATGTCTTGGTTCGTGTCGCGTATTTGCCCAGCAAAGTTGAAGCACTGGGCACTGTCCGACGGTCGCCTTTCTCTGGGAATTTGTTTGGATATGGAACGTTCCCGACTGGAGAATTCGACGACGGTCTTCATTCCGTGCATTTCATGGAACGCTCCGATTGACTGTTTGTGCCATTGGGGTAGCGCATGAATGTGACTTGGGATCTTTCCGTCTTCGGTGCGGCTGCGAGGCCCCATGCAATGCCACTCTCTTTGAATCTGCATCGACGAGTGTGGTCTGACATGCGAGGCTGTGGTGGTCTTGGGCTGTCACAGCCGATGCTTGTTTTCCTCCTGCCCTTCTCTGTTGCCCCCTTTGATGCCTCGTTTGATATATTACCCTGATCTTCAACGGATGATTCCCCTACTAGTCGTGTACAAATATCAAGACATACTTGGCGAACTCGTTACTAGTCGTGCTTGCCTTGTTCTCGTGGCCTGACCTTAGAGCGGGTCCCTACGGTGTGAGTGCTTTGAGTAGAATAGAGTTAGCAGGCCGCGAGTCTTCACTTTGCCTCGGATGAAGTAAGAGGGGAGTGAAAGTGGTATAGTGAAATTCCGAGATAGATATTGCTGGCGGATGTGCACTGTATTCATCGTAAGGCAGGCTTCGTATCGCTCCTCTGCTCAATCCTGCTCCCCCAGATACATGCTGGTTTCATCTTCCTATTTCTCCCAGTTTGGTAGTTCAATCTATAGCTGCGACTGAGCAGAGAGCTTCCCGCGTCTCTATTTGCCACCCATTGTTGGCATGGTTTTACTAGCATCAGATTGCTAAAGAATCTGATTACCCTGAAACTCAGGGATCCGAGATGCCAGGTGAGTGAGAAGACTTTCTTTCAATTGCCTGCTATAAGCCTGTTTTAGGGGGAATGAGAGACGAGGCGTACATATTATTTTATGAATGTATCTCCATGTTATTGATTTGACGAAGCGGCGACCAAAAGGCAACCTGGGGGCGCTATGCCCGGTCGGGACTAGGCGGGACTCCCTTCTCCGGCGCTCCAGCCTCACTCCCCAATCCTGTCTCTCTCCTTCGCTGCTTTCCCTTCCCTCTCTCGCCTTCTCTCCTCCTTCCCTTCTTCTCCTCCTCCTCTCTCTCTCTCCTCTCCCTCTGACTCCCCCACAAAACTTCCTTTTATATATCATCACGCCTTGCCCGGTGATTAGTCCCGGTCTGTTGCGATTTCCGTCTATATCGTCCGGTCTGCTCAGCTCGGACTGGACTTAATACTCCGTCCATCATCTTCGCATCTCGTTGGATCTCCAATTCTCTCCTCTTAAGGCTTCTCTTGTAGGTCGCCTGCCTTGCCATTCAATCCTCTCTCTCATTCTCTCTCTTCTCTTTCTATTGTGTTCAGTCAATTCCATTGCAGCGCCCTTGTCTCTCATCGTCCCCTTGCCCCTGCTCAATTATCTCAGTCCAACCTTCCCCTGGCATCCATCCAATTCACTTGGATCCGCGCCTCACTTGTGCTTCATCCCGTCTCTTTTTCTTTTACTCAAAACCTCATCTTGGACTCCCTCCGTTTATCGTCGCGCCATTATTGGCTCGCACCACACTCCGTGCTGATTGATCAACTACTCTCTATTGTCTACCTTGTGCCCTCTCTTTTCTCTCGTCTTCTCTTGGCTCTCGCGAGCGCACTTGCGTTTCATCTTCTCAGTTTCCGGGTTCGCCCTTGTCATCGTTATCCAGAATCATGCCTTGTCTATCTCTTCCATGGCCGGCCCCCGGCAACCAGCTTCATTTGCATATTCTTCTTGCCCAACTCGCCCCCTAACCCTGCTTCGTCAACGTCCAACCTACCCGGCACCTTTTGCACACGTGAAGGACTTGCTCTAATGTTGATCATTTCGGATCTTAGCTTACGCCTTCTGTCCTTACCGTCCTGGGCGCGACCCTCGGCCATTGTCTGGTAGCCGGCTCCGATTCTCTCCGTTACGACCTACAAGAGCTCCGGTCGACGCGATTTTCCATAACCTCGTCCCTATGGACTCATATGAGAGTTACGGGTCCCCCGGCAGGAGCCGGGAAGCTGGCGATCCCTATGCTTCTAGGGTCCCAGTGGACTCATACCGTCGCAGGTCACCTGGTAAGTTTCTAGCTCCTAGACTGCCATTCGGATGCTCTCGGACTGGTCATGGCCGATTCAATCTAACCACTGGTATGTACGCAGTATCTCAGGATCGACGCCGAGCACGCGGTCGTTCTCGCTCACCCGTTATGATCGACCGCTACGAACCTTCTGATCGCCGTGCCTCGCGAGACGACTATTATGCTGCCTCTCGGGAGCATGCCGGGCGTGACCGCGAGGACCGTCGCCGTGCGCCTTCGCCGAACGTTGCCAACATCGACCGCTATGTCCCAGGACAAGATTCTGTCAAGCGCCCTCTTCCCACCAATCCGCTTCCGAACCCTTTAACCCTGGAGTTTCAAGTGGGGTTCAATTGGTTTGCCGAATGGTGGCGCGCGGAGCAGTCGATCAAAGAAGAAAAGGAACGCGCCAAGCACGGCGGTCGGCGTCCTTCTGATCGCGTCAAGGGGGAGCGGGAGGCTCGTGAAGACCGGGAAAGAGAGAGAGCACAGATCCAGGCGGCTTACGATTCATACAAGGTGAACCTTCAGGCGAAGATGGCCCGTGCTTTCGTCCAGCATCATCGAAACGAGGAGTGGTTCAGAGAGCGCTACGTTCCTGAGGTCAGGGATCCTCTTCGTCGTCAACTGATGGATTTCCGCATGGGCGCCTATCAACAATGGGAGAGAGACCTCGAGAGTGGTCTCTTTGATGAGTTCACGCTTGAAGGCATTTACAAGAGTGAAAGTGACGGGGCAGGCGGTGTCATTGAGAAGGAAGAGGGCGAAACCACCGCGGTTGGTGAAACCCTGGGTGTTCTGGACTTGCTCCCGGCAAGAGGTGGTGACTTGCGTGACGAAGCTCTGTCTCAGTCTGCTCTCTTGATCAAGACTCTAGCGCCCAATGTTAGCCGCGAGAAGATTGAAGAGTTCTGTAAGGAGCACTTGGGTGAGGAAGATGGTGGGTTCAAGTGGCTTAGTCTCAGCGATCCCAATCCGTCGAAGAAGTACCATCGGATGGGATGGATCATGCTCCATCCTGCGCCTGACGTCGAGGTCGTCGAGAGGGGGGATGGAAGGGAGGAAGAGGGTGAGGAAATGGAACATGATCATGCGGCCAATGGATCGGGGACACAGACTGCTGCCGAGAAGGCGCTTGAAGCAATCAACGACAAAACGATCCATGATCCTGTTCATGGTGACTTTGTCTGCCACGTGGGTGTTCATGTCCCGCCGTCGCAACCCCGTAAGAAGGCCTTGTGGGATCTCTTTTCGTCGCCAGAGCGGATTTCACGAGACCTGGAGCTGGCAAGGAGACTGGTGTCGAAGCTCGATGAGGAGATGGGAGCAAGTGCTGACGGGTTCTCCAAAATCGAAGAGCGAGTCGAGGAATTGCGCGGCAAAGGCTGGCTTCAGCCGCCTGTCACGGGGCCTGTCAGTGTCAAAAAGAGGAAGCCCGACTACGATGCCGATGATATTGATGAAGGCGAGGCAGAAGAGGGCGAAGAACAGGAAGGATGGGAAGATGACGAACTCGATGATGAGGAGCTCTTGGCCAAGAAGAAGAAGTTGGATCTGATGGTTGAATACCTTCGCCGGGTCTACAATTTCTGTTTCTTCTGTGTCTTTGAGAGTGACTCGGTGCATGAGCTTGCTCGTAAATGCCCTGGTGGACATCTCCGTCGACCCCGGGCCGGTCTTACGACACAGTCGAAGGCTGTGGCCCGGGCTAGCGCTCTTGGGCAGCCGTTCCCTGTCAAAAAGAAGGAACCCAGTGAAGAGGGCGAGGAGCAGCCGCCTGTGTCGGAGGAGAAGCGGCCACAGCGTTTCAGTTCCAAGACCGAACAACAGCTTCAGCGTGCGTTCAACTGGGTCAAGACCTTCGAGGACAAACTCTTGCAGATCCTTGAGCCAGAGAATGTCGATATCGGGAAGCTGGGTGGCAAGCCCGTTGAAGACGCCTTGGAGGAGGAGCTCGCAAAGTATATGAAGCAGGAGGATGAGTCCAAGTATCGCTGCAAAGTCCCTGAATGCACCAAGCTGTTCAAGGCGGAGCATTTCTGGCGTAAGCATGTCGAAAAGCGTCATACCGAATGGTTTGAGAACATTCGCAGTGATGTAAGTGATACTTCTTTAACGTGTACCGTGCGGACGAATACTCATGATGATACAGCTCGCTCTGGTCAATGCCTATGTTCTCGACCCTGCTCGGATTGCTCCTTCGCGGTCCGACGCTAATAGTAACGGGCATTTCCCTCTTAACTCTGGTCAGGGCCAGACCGGTACACCACGTGGTTTCAGCCTAGCGTCAATGCCGCCTTACCTTGCAGGCAGCGGCAATGTCCCTCCAAGCTTCCAGAGTGTGCCAGGGTCGGGAGTACCCGGATTTATGGGTGTTAATAACCCCTCGTGGAGTGGCAATGGAATGGTGTCTGCAGACGGCCCAGGTTTGCATCAACCAGGCGTCATGCGCCGTGGTGGCGGACGTTATAATAACCGATCAGGTCCTTATGACAGACGTGGCAATCGACATGGCGGCCCAGGCACTGGAAGCGGCCGTCTGAGCCCCGTCCGTAGCATGTCCAGCATGTATGGATCTGGTGGTCGCCTGCCGGCCAGTTCTGGACCGCCATACATTCCCCCTGGACATCCTGCCGCCGCCTTGGTGGGAGCCAGCGGCTTCGTCGACGCCGGTGCCGGTCAGCAAGGCATGGGCCCGCGCGAAGCCGTACAAGGTCGCAGCCTCAAGAGCTACGAGGATCTCGATGCGGTCGGTGGCTCTGGCAGCGGGGAGTTGAACTATTAGACATCTATAACAGAAATATCCTCCGTGCAAATGGCGTTCACTGGTCTGTCGTTCATGCATTTTCGCAAAGCCAGTTACATATTTGATGTCTCACCGCATATGCCGTGCATTGATCCGTGTCTGTCATACTTCTTCATCTTTTCGTACATGAGCCGAAATTGTCTCCTATCAATTTCTGATTTCTTTGGTTCTTCCTTCTCCTTTAACCGTTCTTCTCGACGTTTCTCGTCTATCCAAACGTGAAACATGAGCTCGGCTGAGATTGTGCCTAATTTTCTTTTCAATACGGAATATGGCGTGTTTTCCTTGTGCCCTCATGCGGCCAAGAGTTGGCTCTGTGACTGCTACTTAACTATTTCCGGGATGCCGAAATCCAAAGCTGCATGCTCTTTTCTCTCGTTCGCTTCCTTCGTTTCGTTTTCTGGTCTTGGCGTCCCTCGGATTGTACCATAGTATCTATCTTATCTATCAGCTCGATATTCTCGTACCATAAGCTCAATGACATATGGCCAGTTACACGCATTCTTTGTCTTTCTCAGCGCATTGGACTGATGTATCTTACCTTCGATAAAGCGAATGGGCTTTTATTCATATTCGCAAAAGTAGTAGCCATTAATACTCTTACGATTTCTATAGAAGTACTACTCCGCGTGAAATACTAAGTAGTACTATACAGAATGACAGGTCCAGATACAGCAGTAATTTTTGAAAGAGTATGTACATATATAGCGCATCGCTGATGCTCCACAAATATTATTTATACACTACGAAAAGAAACCCCCAAAGGTATTGGGAATTTGCATCCACCCAACATGATTCCTACGGCATCTGAATCACGACATCGTCTGCACTATCACGCCACTGCAGTCCCATCCTGCGAACGCGACGCTCACTCGCCAGGAATAAAAGCAGGTATATATGAGAAGCTAGCTCGCCCCATGCGTAGACCTTCAGGGTTACTGGTCTCGTTGTTTCACCACGATCCTCGGGTCCACCCTGAGGCGACGGTGCGGGTTTATCTGAGCCATCATCCTCCAGAATGCACCAGACACCCCAGCCAGCGCGACCTTCTTTGGCGATGAAATCCCTTAGGAAGGTCCAGAAGCGCGTGAAGAGTGGCATGTCCCAGGTGCAGCTGGAGCTTGGCTTTGGGTTGAGGGTGTCGGTGAGATTGAGGCGGAGGTACCAGTGTCCTCTTTCGAGGTCGTCGAGGGGTCGGGTTTGTTGGAGGGGAGTGTATGTGCGGGAGGGGTTGAGGCGGGTGGAGAGCATTTTTAGGGTCGGGGTGATGTGGGTTGTGAAGGGGTCTGTTGATATGGGAGGTGGGTTTGGTTTGATTTCTAGGGGGAGGTGTAGGGTGATGTCTTTTGGTGTTTGGGGGGCGGGCGCTTCTCTGGTGGTGATGGTGGTGGTGGTGGTGTCGTTGTTTGGTGAGCTGAGGTTGTTGAGATGTTCATCTGGGGATGTTGTACCGATGACTGGTGGAAGGGAGTCTAGACGACTTCGCTTCGTAGGGGGTAGGCCATTCGTATCGGTCGATTTGCGACGGGGTGTTGGACTTGGTTGGGGAAGGGCAATCTCCTGCAAGTCGACTGGCTCCGGGGGAATTCGCTCAGGCTGAGAATCGGGAATGACACTCATGGGGGTTCCGAGCGAGTCCTTGTCATGTTGACTTGGTCGCTGGGCTGGTGAGGCTGCTCCAGGGTCTGGAGGCTTGAGTGTAGAAGAGCTGGCATTGTGTTGTTCCTGGGTATAGGAGGGACCGGCTTCCGTTACAGCGGGGATGGCTTCGCTGTCCTCAGATCGTAAGGTTATGAGCTGACGAGAGAAAGGTTGAAAACTGAGGATTGCTTCGACCTGAGCGCGGTAGCCGGCATCATCGGCCACGGTGCTGGGGGCGGAGATGTGGACGAGCACTTCGGATTGTTGCATGGCATCGGAGGGGAGGTTGATAAAGAGCCTGGGCCGACATGGTGGGGCACTTGACTATCGGTGCAGACGTTTCAGTTTAGGCGGGACAAAGTGCCCTTTGCCCTGAGAGCAGAGAGGAACTATAGTAGCCTAGACTAGATGAAGGATGGAGTTGAACGAGAGAACAATGGACAGTAAAGGCAAGAGGGGGGAAAGGGCAGAGGGGAAAAGCACATGATAGGCGGAAGCATCGAAGATCACGAGTCATGGCGGCCTGAGGCGCGATCTCGATTGGGTGGATAGGCGGCCTTAGGCTGCCGATCCGCTCGATAGTTTCCGCGCCGTCCAAACAACTTCTCCTCTTCACTGAGCTCAGACGGGTCTCTGCTCAACCTCGTCCTCCCTTGAGATCCTCCCTAATCTCGATCTGACCCGGCTTCTCGGGGAGCTTCGTCGGCGATGATTCGGTCTTCAATTTCAATTGGGCCCGTGGTCTGTTGGTGAGCTAACTACAAGTATCTTGGTTTGTGATCCTGTTCGGTGATCGTCGTCGTGCGTCTAGCCTCGGCTTATCATTGATGGATTGGGACAATAATCGTGGACAATTGAATAGTGGCCATGCTCAGGGTGCCAGGACCACATCTTGGGTGATGTGATAATAATGGCGATTAGAGTCTGTACCATTGACGAGCTATCTATCTTTACCAAACCAAGGTGTTCGAGGCTTCGAGCCACCGTCATCGCTACCCACCTGGCATTTTGACTCTAACTCGAACGTGTTTATTCGATGGCCGGGAGTGTCTTCCAGCCTTCAGAGAAATGACCGTGCACTACCCAATGGGTAGTACGGAGTACCCTTGGGTGTTGGTTGGGGAGTGCTCTGTGCACTACGTATGGGCTCGCATTGTGGGAGAGCCCCTCGGGGACCAGGAATTCAATGTTCACGAAACCTGCAGCAGACAAAGAGGGACAGAAAAAGCAAAGAGACCCCGGAAAGGGGCGATCCCGGTCAGTTACATCACCTCGATTTGCAGGGCGCGCGCGTGTGTGTGCACTATCCCATCTGTAGGTCTTATGCGGGAATAACGCGGTAGTTATGAGGTACAATGAAGCAACTCCGACAACTTGATCAACGAGCGCGTAATCTGCTTACCTGTCCGGGCAAAGAGCGATGAAACGTCGACCGACTGGCACGATCACGATGGGATCGAGTGGCATCTCCTCCTCCTCCTCCTCCTCCTCCTCCTCTCCCCCCCCCTTACAGTGGGATAACCACGGCGGCAGGAGCAGGAAGGTGCATACATCCAATCATCCACTAAGCTCCGGATGTAGGTACCGCACCGAGATAGTGTCCACTTGACCACCTCGCAACCCGGCAGCTCGCGCATGCTTATTCCTAATGACGCAGCACAGCCGGAGCGTTGGGGACAGTAGATTTTCCTGTGCCTGCCACTAATGAATAATAAACGTATAGCGCTATCCTGGACCAGGCGACTAGTCCGAGGCTTCTGTGTGGGCAGTGGGGCTGATGGGCCCGTTGAACACGGACTGGTGAACCAGACAAGCCCCAAAGAAAAACGATTGTGGGTTTGCAAACGAAGAAAGTTAAGCCCAGAGCAGGATCAATACCCCCTCAAAGAAATCATGCAGTGTCTACGGGAGTACTGTGGATGGTCAGAAGGTGGAGGGAGTGCAAAAAGAGAAAAGAAGAGGAAAAAAAGCAAAAAGGGACAGGCTCGACGGTTGATCAACCAAGGAGAACCTGTTTTCCCAAACCCATCGGTCCGGGTCGCAGCGAAATTAAGTCAAGAGTGTTACACACGGCGCCTGCCTCTATTCTGAGATGTCAATTGAGGGATGGCAAAGGTGGGAAGAAGGGCAGGACTTTTTGGGGGTGGGGGTGGTGGTGGAAGTAGTCCGCGGAGGCTGACGGAGCACTACTACTGGGCGACAGGCGACAGGTAAGAATGGTTTCTGGTACGACAGCCGGGGGGACGATCGATCGAACCGCCGGGCCAAAGAGATGCGCCATATATCAGATTCGTGAGCACTTTTTTTATTTTTCTTTTCTTTCCATCTCCTTTCTTAATCACTCCATTTTCTGACTTGCGTCTCTCTGATCCTCTGAGTGCATGAGGCTAGGACTGAAATAGAATGGAAGAGGAATAAAAGGAGGAAGAAACAAAGATAATAAAATAATAATAATTATTATGATTATAAAACCACTTATAGTAGCACCTGTTCGATCCGGATAGCAGAGAGACGAACCATTGCCGCGGATTTAGTGACGATGAGGAGGAGGAGGATGAGTACGGAAGTAGTAGCACGACTGATTATTGACGATGCAGCGAGGATCCCGATTCACAATTACTCGGAGGGGGGAGAGGCCAGCAGAGACAGGCAGACGTGAGGGGCGACGACGATTCAGAGGAGGATAAAAAAGAAAAAACCAATAGCCAATAACCGCCGAGTGACTGGATGCCTGGCCGATCACACCCGGTTAGTTGTTGCTTCACTCCACACGGGCAGATGCTTTGCTTCTCATCCTTCTTGAGTTCTTTGACAGGAACACGAATAGTGAATAATTGAATGATCACTCATTAATATATGGTTTCTCACTTATGTAATGTTTTTTGTGTGAGGAAGGGAGGGAGAGAGAGTATAGTGCAGTAAGGTTAAGCTGGTTGTGTAGCCCATTTCCAGTACTACATTTATCGTAGTACTACTAATACTAAATTACTAAATACTAAAGCCGAGGCAAGATCGGGACAGCCAGAAACGAGAGGGAGAAAGAGAGAAGAGAGAAGAGGAGGGAGGGGGGGGGAGTGGAGGGAGAAGCTGCACTAGTCTGAAACGGGCCGGGGAATGTGTAGACTGTAAGGTACACCCTCTTTGCTGTCTCTCTCTCTATCTGTCTCTTACTTTCTGACCTCTTTTTCTTTTTCTTTTTCCCCTCTGCACTGCTGCTTTCTGTCCCTCCCTCCCTCCCTCTCTCTCTCTTTTTGGATGAGCATTTTTGGGGTATGATAATTATTGTATCGTGATTATTTTATTCTTTCGACCATTCCCCTTTTTACTGTGAAGTTTGATTCCTTTTGATTTCTGTAGCCTGTATGCTGTATTTATTTTATTTTTCAAAAATGAATAATCATGGTCGATATTTGATTTTCTTCTTGGTTATCACATTTATTCATTTAATCATTTTGGATTTTCCTCTTATTTCTTTTTTAGATTCTGCAAATTCACGATCAATTCTGTCATCGACCAATCCATTCCCTTCCCTCCTGTACAATTCCAATTAAAATCTGTGCCTGGATCTATTGTGACTACTAGTGGACGCCCCGGGTGCATGGCAGGCACCAACCACTACTAAGTTGATGATGCTGCTACTACTAGACTGTAACTGAATTAACTAACGCCGTGTGCCTGGCCTTTGCGCCGACCGCTGGAGTGTCTCTTTGCTGGGTCCGTGAAGAAAAGGGAAGGGAGATGCACGCAACGAGCCAATAATGCTCGGGACCGCTAGAAGGCTTGACAGGGTCTCCCCCGTCGATATAACGCCGGCTCGCCTACGGATGACCAACTTAACTTCGGGTCCCGAACGAGTCGATACTAACTATCGTCGCTCTCCATTCATCCAAACCGAAACTAGTCGACTATCCAGGACAGTAGTGGGTGTCCACTCACTCACTCACTCACTCACTTACTCTCTCTTTTCACTCTTTTCACTCACACACACACACACTCTCTCTCTCTCTCTCTTTCACTGACTTGCCACAAGGGTATTATTCTGTCTCTTTCTTCTTTTCCCTCTTCCTCCTCTTTCTTCCTCTTCTTCCTCTCACTCCCTCCCTCTCACTCCCTCTCTCTCACTCTCTCCACTCACCCTCATACTTACTATCTATCTACTCTTTTTTCTTCCTCCACCATCTCTCTCCCCCTTTCAACCTGCAGCTTCAAGTCTCAACTGAAACTCGCCCTTTTCTGACACACCCCATACTTACATCCAATCCATCCATCAACTCCCGCCCACCACACCCGCCGCACCCACTTTCTCTCTCTCTCCTACCTTACCTTACTTACCTAGTACTCCAACAGAGAGGTACTACTACTACCACTACCAAGAATCCACAAATCAACATACCAAACTTAACTTATACATTTATCCACCTTCAACCCACGGATGGTAAACGGGCAACCGGGCAAACCTTCCAATTAATCAATTAATCGATATTATTGCCTGGCCGTTTTTCCGCCCCCGCCAGCCTATTTCCCATCTGCTCCATTCAGATCTCTCCTTTTCCCCTGGTCCAGAGCTCGTGTGGTGGCTCCCCTCCTCCACCCCCCAAACTCAGGTCCCCATCGGCCGCGCACTTTCGGGGAAAACGTCCGACCCTGCCGGTGCGTATATCTTGTTCCCCAACGGTGAAAGACGCTTGGACAGGAAAAAAAAGAAGGAATCCACTTGACTACCAAATCAAAGTCCATTTTAAGGCTGACAACGGTCCAGATTGATTGATTGATTGAATGAATCTCGCTTTCATTTAATCTGCTGTCGGTTCCTCCTCCTCCTCCTCCTCCTCCACCGTCTAGTCCCATCAGATCCTGTCTCTCTCTTTCTCTCTCTCTCTTTCTTCGCTTCCCCTCATTCTTCCCGCCTCCGTCCTCCGCTTCGTCGGTGTCCTCCGTCGGCCATCTTCTGATCGCGCCGGTCGCATTTCTCCCAATCACCCTCATTCTTCATCGTCATCACCACCATCATGACTTCCATAAATGGTGGTCCGATGTCTGTGGACCTGAGTGCGGGCAATCGCCAAACCATGACACCAGAGGCTATGCCAAGTAAGTTCCCGGCTTCCTTTGCCCTGGAGACCTCGCATTGCTTGTATGCCTGTGGTGATACGATCGGCGCCCGTTTTTCATTTCATCTCTGCTTTTTCTGGGGAACATGTGTGATGGATACACAGAGCATCCCGGATGGGGGAAAGGCTGCAGTCGGCACCGTTCGCTCGTTACCTACCGTTTCTTGATTCTGTCATCTGCACCGCCTGCATGTTGTATGACGTGATGTGCTGTACCTACATGTCTTTCCTCATTTCGTGATAATTTGTTGCTTGTTGTGTCTTGCATCGCTTTGCTTCGGAGAGGATCCCGTCAATTGCCCGCTCTGACCACACTGCATGCAGGCCAACCCAATTCCAGACCCTCGACAATCGGGGCCGACTTTTTCAAATTCTTCAGCGGCACACAGAAGAAGGTTACTCGAGGTTTGTGCTACCGTATGTTCACTCTTGTCCGCACTCGTTGTAACCCGACTCCCTTCTAGATGGTCAACCGGCCAAACGACGTGGTCCCAAACCCGACAGCAAACCCGCCCTTACCAGACGACAGGAATTGAATCGCCAGGCTCAGAGGTACGTGGCTCTCCCGTCTCTGCAATTTATTCTAGGAACAGATGCCAACGACTGTTTAGAACTCATCGCGAGCGCAAGGAACAATATATACGGGCGTTGGAAACGGAGGTGTCGCGGTTGCGAGAGGCATACACACAGGAGATTTCGGCGGCCAACTTGACTGTGGTTCAACACCGGGATATGGTGCAGTCGCTATCGGACGAGAACACCATCCTGAAAGACATCCTCACGGCCCATGGCATCAACTACGAACCCGAGCTCGAGCGGCGCAAGGCTGAACGACCCACGATCGGCTATCAGTCTAGCCCATTTGCCAGCAGTAGCACGGGATCGCAGCCCACCGGCGTTGCTCCTTCCAATCCCTCGACGAACAACATGTACACCACACCACCGACCACCGTCTCCGCAAGCCTGAGTCCGATCACCACGGGGATTGAGCAGATTGATGTGTCGTCGAGCGAGATGTCACCACCGCAAGGGCCGTATCAGGCCGCCCCGTGTGACGCCCTAGCGACGCTCGACCAGATCGCGCCGGTGAGCCGGGCACCGAGGCACCCATCGGGCATCTTTGAGGAGCACCCCCAGCTACAGATTGACTTTATCTTGACGTATGAACCGCCACATTTCGTCTAACGGAAGATTGTATGACTGACTGCTGTCTAGATTGGAATCGCCGTGTCGCGAACATACCGACTATCTCTGCCGCCGATCGATCACGGAAGCCGATGACGAGGACATGCCATTCTCGGGTCACGCCTTGATGGCGACCTGCCCGCCGCCCAGTTACATCGCCAACACCTCGAATGAACAAACTTATCCGCATAAGACCTACGATCTCCCTCATGCCAACCTGTCGACCCTTCTCAACCTCAGTCGGCAGCTCGTGACGGACGGACAAATCACGCCTATCATGGCGCTGCAGTGTTTGAAGAATCACGAGCTCTACCGCAGCCTGACCAAGGACGACGTCAAAGTGATCATTGAGACGTTGAACACCAAAGTGCGCTGCTACGGCTTTGGCGCGGTGGTGGAAGACTTTGAACTGATGGACTGCCTGAGCAGTGTTCTCGGAGCCAAGGTCGAGGGCGCCCTTTCCCATCCCGGCGATGAGATGATGTATTCGTGAGCTGAGGGCAGAAGTGGGCGATCTGGATGGAGTTTATGAGGTGATTATTTATGGGTTTGGGTAATTGTTCTAACAGGGTTTGCTTTGGCGAGGTGTATATAAAAGCTCTGGGAGCAAGGCTGTTCTTTTCTTCTGATTCTCTTCTTCTGATCCTCTTCTTCCTGTGGGGTTTAACTGCCAGAGCGCACTGGCCATACAACTTGTTAATCTTGAGTGTCTTCTTCTATTCTTCTCTCAGTGTTGGATCTTCCCAGTTGATTTAAGCTATACCACCCATTAATCAATAATCACGAGAACCACGAATTGCATACACACCCACCCACCATATATCTCCAATCCCACAATAAACATAAAACATAACGTAATAATAATCAAACAGAAATAGTAGTAGTAGTAGTCGTAGTAATAATATCCCCCCTAATCCTCCCCACCACCTCCCTCACCTTCTCCCACTCCCCATCCTTCAGAATCCGATACACTCTCCCCAACTCATCATCATCATCCTCTTCTCCCAAACTCTCCCCATTTTCCAATCTCTCAATCAGTAAACCCCCGTCCTCTAACACATTACCCTCACCCCCCATGATTGATTCCTCATGATTTACATTATGTTCATGATCATATTCATGATCGCTAATCTGCTGTCGTAGCCGATTCACCTCCGCCCTCAACTCAGCTATCATCTCCGCTTGCGCAATCGCCTGCCTGTCTTCATCCGGCACGGCGTATTTACATTCGTGCGCGATGTTCCGCGCATTGCATGTTTCGCAGGGTTGGAGGCGGTTGCACTGGTTGCATCTCCCCCGGGAAGAGGGGGATTGATTAGATGGGATGGGATGGGATGGGATGGGATGGGATTGGAGGGGAGGGGATCTATTTACCTTGACTTTTCGGGTTCGGCAGGGGAGGCAGGATGCCGTAGGGCGGGATTTCGGGCGGTTGGGGAGGGAGGTGGGCATGTTTGTTATTCCTCTTGTTTTCTTTTCTTTTCTTTTCTCTTAGGAGGGGGGTGGTGAAGTAGGGAAGTAAGTGATTGTTGGAGGTGGATTAGGTGATTAGAATTTAGTGGGTTGGTTAAGTTAGTAGTTAACTTAGTTAAGTAGACGGGAATGAGTAATCTAACCTTGTTTGGTTTGATTTGGGTTGGTGGCGTGGCTTTGGTCATAGTTTTGGGTATAGTGATAATGTATGAATGAGGTTGTCTTCTACGTATTGAATAGTTTGTAGTAGTTATGTAATTTGTTTAAATATGTTGATTTGGAATTGATGTTGATATTTGTATATAGTATGGTGTATATGGCGCGTGAGGTTGTTTTAAATGACAGTTGTTGTTGGAATTTGGTGAAGTAGTCAAACTGTAACTCTAATTTTATTTTGTAGTTAAATTGGTCAGTAGTATGTAGGTATGGAATGGAATGTGGTGACTGGTGACATGGTATGTGGAGGGAGTCAATAATGTGTCATATTGATCTCCTTCAAGTCCCATACTAAAAGAGTATACTTCATTCCACACAACCACCCTTAATTTTAAGAACCAACAAGACAGGACTTTCTCCTCCATAACACTCTAATCTACCAACTCATCCATTACATCAAACCAGCATGCTATGCTATGCTATCAAAACACTAACTTCCCCTCCCCCCTCCTCCCCCTCCAATAATCCGTACTTCTCCTCAACTCCCCCAACCCCAGCACCACCCACCTCCACTTCCTCAAAAACGCCTCCGTGACCTCCCAATTGCACGGATCCCATGGCACGCCCCACACCACCAACGTCGCCCCAGAGTTCCGGGTATCCCAAAACGCCATGAGATCCCGACACAGCTCGTCCTCATCTAGGTAGCCCGTCGCAGCCGCGACAATCAACCGGTCTCGCATCTCGGGGAACGGGAAGAAGTCCAGCCAGGGGTGGTGCGGGATGAGGCGTTGGAGAGGCGTGGGGCGGAGACTCTCCGGGAGGGTGGAAATATCGATGTTTGGAAAAGGGGATGGGGTGTTGAAGATTGAGAGGGCGTCGTCGGGTCGGAGGTGTGCGGGTGTCATGCCCAGCAAGCGGATGTTGTCGATGATGGCTCGGTGGACGTTTAGCCGGGAGAGACTCAGCAGGTGTTCCAGACGGGGACTGTTGGTGAGGTAGCTTTGGATGGCGAGGGTGGTGAGGGTTTCGTGGACGTGGGGGATGTTGATGTTGGTGGGGGCGAGGGGGCAGTGGTGATTATCTTCTTCTGCAGCTGCAGCTTTGTTTGATGGGGATGTTGATGATGTGGGGTGGTGGATTATGGTGGAAGGATGGGCAATTAGGGTTTGGGATTGAGTGGTGGAGGTAGATGATGATGAGGAGGAGGAGGAATCCCCCGTAGTGGCTTTATGTTTCTGCCCTAGTTTATATAGTCAGATTAATAACCAACACTCAGGTTGGAGGGAAACATACGATAAGCCCGTTGATTCAACCTATTCTGCAACCGACGACGGTGGGTTCGATCGCTGACCCCCGTCCAATCATCTTCAGGCGTCCAGAGATGTTCTAGCTGAGGCATCGACCGAAGCGTCACAATATTTGATGTTGATGATGTAGAAGCTATCGGATCCATTTGGGGTGGTGGTTCGTGTCGAGACATGATGATGTGGGTTATTGGTTATTGGTGGATGCAAAGTTGCTGACACGGCGGAGCTGCAGGCTTATTTATGCAGGGCTAGTCTACCAGTAGTTGACCCACTTGGGGGAACGGTGATTCTTCGGTCTGAACGTTAATCTCTAGGCTGAAGTTCTGGAAATGTTGTTCTGATAGATAAGCCTGGGACGGTGGGGGCTTTCATTTTCATGGACCGGGATTTGTTCGAAGCGGGAAACTTAGAATCATTAAAAGTCTACTTATTTTGTTCCATACACATAGCTGTGTAACTATCGGTATATATGATTATCTACTTCTCTAGAGAGAGGAGGTTCATCCTGTTTATCCACTCTTCTCCTTCCACAACAACATCGCCAAACAATAGCAATGACTATCCCAAGAAGCAACCCCCCTCCTATACCAGCAGCCAGTCCAATAACCAGCGGTTCATATCCTCCTAACGGACGGCGATCCTCACTACCTTCGCAGCGTCCAGATGGGCAACGGCCACTGCCACTATCGCATTGCGAGCCACTTACCAATCGGCAGTTAACGCAGCAGGAATTGGAATTGTCCGCGCAGTTCTCACCGCAATCGCACTCCTCGCCGTCCTCGACAATGTCATTACCGCACTCACCAGCAGGGGTACTTGGACCACTGATCGTAGGTCCGGTATCATTACTGTGCACGAGACAGTCATCCTCTACTCTGCCAGAGCGAAGCAAGGAGCACACTTGTCTACTAGTGCAGGGCGAAAAGGACGTCTGGTAGGACGTGGAAGATGGGTTCATGATATACTGTCCGCCGGCGTCGCAAGAGCTCGAGGACAAAGGGCAGCAATCCCCATTCGAAGTGGAGCAGGTTTGAGAGTCACAGTCATGGGTCGCGCCGAACATGTGGCCGGATTCGTGGCTAGACATGCAAGAGAAATTAGTATGCCTCATAAGGTATGATTGGTCAAGAGGACTTACGCAAAAACCTGCCATTGATTGGAAGTCCGCGCCACTACATTTGCCCCGGAGTAAGTCGTGCAGAGCCCTCCCACGATGGACACACCCACCACGTTCCCGGTGGGACAGTTGGTCATCAGAGTCCAGTAGGCATTGGGGTCGTAATGCCAGCGTCGCCATGAGGCAAATTGCTGGAGTCGCCAGTCCAGATTCCCTCTGGAGCAGCCGACATTCCATGGGGTGTCTCGCTGGGGTGTGTCGGGACATGACTCGTCGCTGATGGTGAAGTTGCGGATGGCGAGAGAGATGTTCCATGTCCTCTCGTAGACCTCTGATGCGGTGTTCACCATGCTGATTAGTCCTCGGCGGAGCTCATCTGTGGATGAGAATGCGGCGCGGTAGGAACAATCTGTGGCGAGACCGATCAAAGCCACTCTCCGGGGCCGGGAGCAGGTGTTGTCTTGGGTGGATTGGCGGGGGAAGACTGTGTTCTGAGAGAGTGTGCTTATGGCATCTCCAGATGTGGTGATTTCCATGTGCGGATAGGAAATATTGGACTGCGTGATCAGGTTGATGTGATATTGTTGATCGAACAGCGTGAAGGCTCCCTCGAACAGCGGGCTTGTCCCATCCTGGATGAGATATATACGTGCTCGTCCTGCCGGATGCCATGCATTGCTGGACGAATTTACCAGGACGTCACCCCGAAACACTCTTTCCCTATCTCCATTGAGTGATTGGGGTTCTGTGCCGTTCAGATACTCGATATAAGTATCCGGGGCAAGAATGTCCCGATTCGGTTCCAATTGCAGCCGCACCGGGCCACCATGTCCAGGAACCCCTATAGTAATGTCCAGTTGGCCGTTGACCGAGCTAGTCCGGGACTGGGGGTGAACCACGACCTGCTCGAGTCGGGCTACATATTCTGTGGCTGGGTTTCGAACCGAATGGCCTAGTAATGTAAGGGTGGTTCTCAACAGCAGGATTAGGTACATGTCATACCTAGAACATTTCGAATTAAATTGAATGTGCACACCACCGAAAGAACATCACAGAAGATCCTCATGGCAGTTTTGTACTTCGATGCAGATCGAATATTCTCAACCGCCCATGATGCGTTGCTTCTTTCATGATCTGTATATATACTCCATAATGAAGAATCCTACCAGTAAACACGCAGACATAAACATCGTAATGGGCTATACACATCATATCTAGGCAACAGAATACTCATTATCCTAGCAATGGATAGATGGTAGAGGCTGAGCTGCTATCTCCGACGCACGATCCGAATTGAGGTCAGTCCAGTAAGCCAGGACTCCACCGCCATAAGCAGCACCCATCAGAGCTCATGATGCACTGCCACATAAGGGACATTTGTAATCATCCGACTCGAACCAGCATCCGGATGCAGATCGTGATGATGTCGATAGCATAGTTGAGAGAGGGAAGTACGAATTTGTTGCGTGGATGTGTATTCAGCCAAGCGTGCCAAGATCAACTGGGACATCGCATAGGCAGTGCTAGCCTGACAAAATGATGTTGCCTGAAATTCCAAGTCATTCTAGAAGACACACCCTAGATGAAGAAGTTGTGAGGGACACAAAACACAGACAGCGGAAGAAGATAAACTTGGCTGCTATCCGGCACTAATGCATCTTGCTTACGCCAAGCCAGACCCGCTCTTCACCAATCCATCAATCACCATCCGGGATGCTATTGAGCCGGGAGACCCTTAGCCATGGAAGGATACCAACCCTGGTTGATGCTATGCTATCTCCGGCCTCGGCCTCATTTATGGACCCATGCGATTAACGTGAATGATGAATACCAAACATAACATGTTCAATAACTGCCGACAATCTACCGAACTACACTACATACAACATCTACCCAAACAACCCTGCCTCCACCGGGGCACTGCAAATCTGCATTTCCTGCACCTCCCTCAGCAGCGCATCATCCCCGAAATCCTCCAAGTCCAAATCCATAAACCCCTTCTCCGCCCACTTCCGAGCCGTCACAAAGAACGAATGCCCATTAACCCTCCCATCTGCCAGGATTCTCAACAAGCAGCGCCCTGCATCCTCCGCTGTGGCAAACTCCACGCCGGCCCGCTTACAGTGTGCAAATGCCTCCTCGGACAAAATCCCGGTGTGCACATACCACGGGCTAATCACATTGACTCGGGACCCGTAGTAATGGGCCGTCCGACGCAGGGAATGCATGATTCCACGCATCGCCCACTTACTGGCACAGTACTGCGGCGAGCGTGGCACGTCGAGGAACGCCGCGCCTGAGCCGATAAGAATCAGGCAGGTATCTTCTTGCTCTGGGGTAGGTGTGGTTCCGTTCTGGCGGATGAAGTGGTGCATGGCTAGTTTGGCTGTGTAGAGAGGACC